CCAAAGGTAATACCACCAACTTGTTTCAGCACTTGGAGCACAATCACGTTACCGAATATGAACATAAAACCAACTGACATAAAATAGACCAGACACTGAAACCATCGCCGCAGATCGTGGGCCAGCTACAGAGTAGCTTCAGGGCATTTGGGGCTCTCTGCTACCAAAAATTGGCACTAATGGATTTATGGTGCACGGTAGTAATGACATGATTCAGACAGTACACCTAAAGCAGTAGTTGATAAATTTTAGAAAAACATTCTTCATATTTGCTTTAACTTTCACTATATTCACACAGCACTAAATGAAAAAAATAATCTGTGAAAAATTTATATTCCTCGACTTTGTTGCCTTGTGGCACTTCTAATGAACAAAAACAACCAATCAGACCCATGAAGTCTCGAACACAACTGTCATTCACGTCAATCACAGCTCGTTAACTGTGGTCAAACTGTCAAACTAAGCAGCGCTGATTAAATATGAATCAAGATTTTGTTACTGCATTGCCTATTTCTCACCTCAAATATTTTCAGAAACATAATGTATAAGCAACTTACTGTATTATTCATTCAGTCATTTTCTGTGACCGCTTAGCCTGTTGGGGGTCACAGGGGGGCTGGAGCCTATCCCAGCTGACATTGGGCAAGAGGCGGGGTACATTCTGGACAAGTTGCAAGACTATCATAGGGCTGACACAAAGAGACAGACAACCATTCACACTCACAATCACACAGTCACCAGTTAACCTAGCCAGCATGTCTTTGGATGGTGGGAGGAAGCTGTAGTACCTGGAGAAAACACACTATGACATGGGGAGAACACAGACTCCGCACAGAGGGGCTCCTCCACCTTGGGTTTGAACAAGGAACCCTCTTGCTGTGAAGCGACAACGCTAACCACTGCACCCCTATGCCAACCACTAATTGTATTACATTAATAAAAAACTACGATTTATGTGGAATATGCTCAGTGAACAAATCACAGTTTTCCATGTGATGATTTTCCATGTTTTCTTTATTTCCTTTTGGTTCACTCGTGCTATAAAAGCTTTATAAATGATTGCACTTCCTGTAGCCAACCTTCCTTTTCACAGTAGGAATGCCTAGAAGACAGCAAAGACAATTTGGACCTCTTTAATCTAGCAATTTGTTTTACGTCACAGCTATTATGTGTTGGAGTAAATACTTATTGGGATGAGTGGTGACAAATGTTGGCTCACCCTCGACTCACAAAGGGTTTGAAAATTACCTATTCAACTTTGGAATTATCAGTTTTTGGTACAAAGCACAAAGCTAAGAATCAAAGTGGTCCTAAAAAATGATTTTCAGGTGTTTGTGTGTGTGGGTGGGTGTATTAGTGTGCAGACTGAGAAGGACAGATGGTGGATGTCCACTCAGCACATTGCTTCAACTCTATGCCAAATGATGGGAGAGTGAAGGAGGGAGAGCCGTGGAGCTACACAGAGAAAAACTGAGTGCGAGAGAAAGATAGGTTCAGTGAGCGCTAAGAGCCGGGCCAATTAGAGGTATGGATGTCCTGGACGGTGGCCATACGGAGAGTAAAGAGAGATAGAGGGGGAGAATGACAGAAAGTGGTCAGCAAAACAGCCACTCATCAAAGTTTATAATGGAGCGCTGGGAGATGGAGATATAGTGTTTGTGTGCATGTGTGTGTGTGCGCATGGGAGAGAAATGGTTGATAATCATGACATGTGTTACACTTTATCTGCAACCTCCATGACACTCATCAGTTGCCCTCCTTATCACTCAATTACCCCGCTGTGCTCTGATCTGCGGATTTGCTTCTTTGATCTTCTCTTCTCCTCAGCTTTCCCCTTCATTTATGTGAAGTACATCCCAGATAAAAGCTCTTATCCTCTTTAAATTTAATTCCAGACAGGTTGTTTATGTGCATGTTTGTATTGTGCCGACAGACACCTGTTTACATGAATAAACTGAATATTCTGAATACTGTAGCATGGCTGAAAATATAATTAATAAAGAGATTAAAGCAAACACAAGCCTGTATCCTGGGTACCATATAGCCTATGAGATGTAGTAACAGCATAGTGGTGCACATATCAACACATTTTCTCTAGTGTCCCTTTAACTGAACAAAAATTTCATCATGTTTATGTTCATTATGTCCTATTTTAGAATTTCCCAACTCCAAAAGCATGTTTTACTATTATTTGCCACTAGGGGTGTAACAATAACCTACATCATGCAGGGTCGATATATCAATACAGAGCTCTACAATCCAGTATCATTGCTGCAAAGTGAAAACACTGATACCTATTGTCACCTTCAAGGTATATTTTATCTAATTTTGAAATTTACATGGCACGTCTGTGTCACCATTTTCATCCAAGTGCATCTCCTTCCCAAACATTCAAGCAGTGCTAGCGGCCTAGTGTCAGGCAGACAATGGTGAGCAGCCAAGAAAGAGACAATGAGGACATTTGCTGATATCATCTAACATCAACCACAGGCCCCTGAATTAAATCAAAATCATATCGTGGCAGACTTTGTGATATCAGCATATTGTATCGTTGTCTAAAGAATCAATATCATGTCATATCGTGATGAGATTTGTGAATTTCACCGCTATTCACTACTGACTTTTGTACACATGAGCACCATCACCATCGTCTGGCCAGGAAGTACTTTGACATGCTCAGACAATGTATGTACCTTTGTCTGCTGATGGAAATCATGTGACACTATCTAAAGCTCAAAGAACTGCCATTTCAAAGTTCAGAATTGATGTCCTGAAAGAAATACTTCATACTACAAAATGACCATTTATAAATCAGTTTATCATGCTGTGTCACATTAAATTCTAAAAGAAAACTTTTAAGTATGATTCCATGGAAAATGGCCAACACATTGATCTGCCGACGTTTAACAACAGCAAAACTATTCAAAACATCCATTAACAAACTCTCACATGACCTGTGTAGTATAATCTATGTCTCATTTACCCAGTTATATGCTCAGTGCTTCACAAAAACATGCATTTTCACAAAAATTACTATTTAAACCTGAAGTAAAAGTGAAACTCATCTATCCTCTCTTCAAAGCCAGACTCCATGACAAGTGTTTGAGAAGCACTGAGCATACAACTGGATAAATGAGACTTGGATTACACTGCACAAGTTGTGTGAGAGTTTGTAAACGGACGTTTTGATATAGTTTTGCTGCTGCTGAATATGATCCACAGTCAATGAATAACTCAATACGTTTGCTGTTTTCTTCACAAATTCAAGGTAACAGCATAACTCACTGATATACAAATGTCACTGTGTAGGTGAAGTATTTCTTAAAGAAGTGAGCTTCACTTCTGAACCTTTGAAATGGAAACTGACAAAACACTCTCACCTTAAAGTCCATTCAATAGCTTTTCTTAGAGCTTTTGATCATATCACATTATCTTCTCCAACAGACAAAGGATCATACATTGTATGAGCATGTCAAAGACCAAACTGCACATTTCCTGGCTATTCCTTTAAAGTACTCTAAAAAGGGAGCATCTATGACAACTGGGCAAAGACCCTTAAATGTCTAATATGTCAGAGAACTGATAACAACATGGCGGTATCCATGGAAGAGAACCCACTCTGTATGTAGACATGAGCAACTCATTCTAAGGTAACAAAAACACAACACTTATTTTCAGGTAATTATTAAGCAACGATAGTTATGAATATTAGATACCATCTCTGCCTATGATGTCCCAAAATCCTACACACTGGACCTTTAAAGTGAGATTGTTTTGTCAGCTATGGGGAATGTTAATGATGGGATTTTCCCTGTTAACTCTGAAGAGGGACAATATTGCCCATAGAGGACTTGCAAGAAGTTGGGATTCAGCAGTAGGAAAACATAAGTAAATCATGTGTGAATGTACATGTGTAAATATTTTTCATATCTGATTGTGGATGTATGAATGTGTTCTCCCACTCCTTTCTTATGCATAAAAAACAGCACCATTACAGCACAATAACCAAAAACAGTACTATTACTATGAATAAGACACTGAACAATAGTGTGTGCATGCTCTTCAGTGGCTAACAGAGTTATTCCTGATCAATTCCTGACATTGACAGGTGCCTGGACATGTTGTATACTCCTCAAATGAAAAACAAAGGGTATCTAACTCAGCCAAAATACAAATGCCCAACGTGCAGCTGTGCCAAATATCAAAGGAACACTGAGTCATCACAAATGCTCTTTGAGAATATACTGTATGCCCTCACGGCTCAGAACCTCTGAAAGGTACCATCATGGCCGAGCACTGCAACTGATAATGTGGTCATGCCATTTAAACAAGCACATACAGAAAGAGCAGTCTCAGGGGCCCTATAGCTCATGGCCTCAAGGCATGTGCATCATCCATGAAAGACTCTCCTGATGTGAATGTCTGCGCAAATGTTGCAGGTATCCCTGACAGACTGACTGTACACAGGGCAGAAATGTAAAAACAACTGAACTACATATCTATAATCTCCAACAATATGCAAATATGTGTGCCCCACAGGCTCCACAGCCATTTAGTCTATATAAATTAGGTTGTTTAGTATTTGCATGAGGCTTTTTTTTAATGTGTGAACAGATATTTAGTCCTGGATCAAATGCAAATCATGAGTCAGTATCTGCAGAGCAACCAGATAGCAGGGAAGGACAGCCTCTGGCTAAACTTGTTGATGTCACGCCTCCCCCTCATTAGAGATCAGCTTCTCATTCAAATTCACACACTGATGTTCCTGTAAACACAACGAGCTTATTGTATGGGGCCAAACACGCCTTCCTTTTCCCCTGTGCTGTCATATTGTCGATCTACAGGTGCTTGGGGGACCGAAGGGACATGAGAGGCTTTTGCCGTGCGCTTTTTCAGCAACAGGAACGCAGCCTGTAGCACGGCAGCATCAGACTCTCCGTCATGGTCTCATTCATTACACCCACAACCTGGTGTTATAACGCTGAAGGCTCTCAACTCACCCCGAGTCTGCTCTGGACCCTCCGCAAATACTCTTCCATGTCGGCCTGCGTCGCTACGGCGTCGCTGCAGCTCTCTCCATAGACCAAGTTTCGGCAGTAAGGCTGCTGATGCGTGTGTATATGTATGTGTGTGTGTTTTTTTCTCTCTCTCTCTCTCTCTCTCTCTCTCTCTCCGCTTCCGAGTCCCCCGCTGCGCTCGCACTGCAGCACTCTCTGCTGCTGTGTGTGCCGTCGGTCCTCCCCTTCTCTACGGGGTGAACCCACAACACCGAGCAGTGGGTGTGACGGCAGGAAGAGGAGATCCGACGGTGGCGCGCTCGGTGATTCAACCGCGCTCCCTGCGGTAGGGAGCCCCCCCAACCGTCCCCCACATACACACACACACACACACACATATCCTATACCGTACATAGCCTCGGCGTCCACCAATGACACAACGTGGTGAATGATGTAGCCTATATAATAGCGCTCCAGCACCACGGACAGCACAATTTCATTGCCAGCGGCTGTAGCGTTGGTTTCAGCACATGCATGTCTGTATTTTGGTGTGTGCCGCAATTTTCACACATTTTTTCCATTTTGCCGCAATGTGATGAAAACCAGTGCCAGAACCAAAGTGCACTGCGATGCCTTTCTGGACCGTGAGTGTGACAGGAAGCACTTTAATTAATCTGTGAGAAAACAGAGAACACACCAAGACAGAGGGTATCCCCCCCCCCCCCCCCCCCCCCCCCCCCCCCCCCCCCCCCACACACACAGAATAGACATATCATAGAAAGCCAGCCAGCCCTGGAACTTTAATATTTAAAATGGACAAGGCATTTATCACTGGGTCAGGGTGCCACTGGATTTATCCCTTTACATAGTAGTCTATCTATCTATCTATCTATCTATCTATCTATCTATCTATCTATCTATCGGGCCCCTACTGACCCCCACCTTCTGCATTATACAGTCATATCCTGCTTTATCTATAAAGCAATATTAGGCAAACTTTCAGCCTACCTGTCTGCACCCTTCTGTGTGTCAGCTCCGGTAGTTACCAGCTACTCTCCTCTGAGTGGTTTTTAATGAACCCTGGGTTTTTACAGATCTGGGGAAAACTGCATTCTCCTACTCTGTACCATGGGCATGGAACAACCTCCAAAAAGATGTAAAATTAGAAACATTTATATCCATTGATGAAGTTAAGGTCGTCATAAAGAATGTGATGATGTGGATTTTTGTATTATATGTTGTATTTGTTGCATTTTAATGTGTTTTTATTAGCTGCTACCTCGGCCAGGTCTCTCTTTTAAAAGAGATTTTCAATCTCAATGGGACTTCCTGGTTACATATAGGTAAATAAATAAATAATGCTATCTGGCCCCAAGGTTTCCATGTGTCATTAAGTTTGTGATAATTAAACTGCACACAACTTTGTTTAGGAATTGCACAAAGCAAACCATATAAACTAAATCAAACCTAAATTAAATTATTAAAAACCCACTGACATTTGGTGAACCTAGAGCTTTTGGGGCACCTGGGGGCCTGGGACACATTTAATAAATTTTGTTACCCCCTAAGGATTGGGGTGGGGCCCTTGGTGCTTGCTTATGTTGCCTATAGGAAGATCCGCCACTGCGGACACATGCATGTATAATTTGTGTGTGTGTGTGTGTGTGTGTGTGTGTGTGTGTGTGTGTGTATGTGTGAGTGTGTACTATTTCCACTGTTACTGTCAATGGCTTTTAGTTCAGCACCACATTTGTTGGAATCAGCGGTAACCTGACTCTTTTTACTCGAACAGGAAATATGAGCATCTCTAAATCATATCATGGTTTCCCATTTGTGGTGAAGTTAGTGATACTCTGGTCTCAAAGTAATGGAGGCTGTGTTAGTGCACTATCAATGTGGGCAGCCAAAAGGTCTTTGTACTCTCAGACCAGAGTCACACCAGAGATATGATCAATATGACTTTCATATATGTGTGTGTGTGTGTGTGTGTGTGTGTGTATGAACTGTTTTGTTTTTTTTAGTATTACAGAGTGAATGCATATAATGTGTCAATCAAGGCTACAGGGAGACATGCCCCTTATGCAAAACACTACATATCCTTTCACGCTAACATAATACATATTGATTTATATTAATTAATAACACAACTCTATCTCTTTCTTTTCCTGCGTGATTCTTCAGTGTTGATGTAAAGTAGTGAGTTACACAGTAAGTCACAAAAACCTGATATTTTGCTGCTGATGTTTAGTTAAAGTGCAACAGTTAATGTGCTGGTGATATCAGGCGTCTCTTCATCTAGTGTGTGGACAGTTATGGGTGACAATACTAAAAGTACAAAACCAAACAGCCTGAAAATAAAGAGTTAACTGTCACTTGTTACAGTAAAACACCTTAAGGTACATAAGGTTCAAAGTTTCCTTTGAGATCTGAAGTGAGCTCCTGTATGGATTCTTATCTTGATGAATGAGAGCAGCTGACAGCAACTGACAGCCTGCAGTGACAGCTGATGGGAAGTAGAGGACCTCAGTGTGGTCACTTTGTAGTTGCAGTCTGTCAGCATTATCAGGGCTAGTTAAAGGTCCAGTGTGTAGGATTTAAGGACATCTATGGGCAACAATGGAATATAGTATTTATAAAGTATTTGTGTATAATCACAAAAAGAATCATTGTGGGTTTTTTTTTAAATCTCAGAATAAGCTGTTTATATCTACATGCAGAGCTGGTCCCACAGAGTCCGTCCTGCTGTTCACAGTAGCCCAGAACAGACAAACCTGACACATTCTCACTCCAACCTCATCATAAATTGACACTTGGACGTAGACTTTCCACGTCCACATATAACACGCAAGGTACCCTGGGTGCATTAGTTGTTGATGTTCTGGGATGCTGTGTCAAGTTCTGCCTGTTACATGCATTGTCTGTTTTCAAAATACTGACCATGTATCATACTGACGCGAATCCCTGAACAAGTGGCAGTTTTCAACGACTTCGGAGTGAGACCGGGGTGACAAAACCAAACACTGCCTCCAGATAGGGGCATTCACATTTTGGAGTTTTTGCATCATCCTTTGTAATGCTCCTACACGCTTATCATACAGGAGGAGTTTTAGTTGGTTGCAATCTGCAACCTCACCACCAGATGCCACTAAATCCTACACACTAGTCCTTTAAATCAAATGGATACTCCTTTAATAAGAATACAATGACAGTCTGTGACAGCAGAGATGAAACCCACAGCATAGATGGATTACAGAATGGATCTACCGAGCACAGACCCAGGGGCCCCCCTGGCCTTCCTTTGCAAAATGTTACTCAAATTGCCACCCAGAGAGAGACTCAAAATGATCACAAAAACAAAACAGGAGAATTAAATGCGGACTGTTAAATATCAGGTCTCTATCGTCTAAAGCAGTGTTAGTAAACGAATTAATTTCAGATAATCATATTGATTTACTCAGTCTCACCGAAACCTGGCTGTGTCCAGATGAATATGTTAGCCTAAATGAATCTACTCCTCCCAGTCACAATAATACCCACATTCCTCGAGGCAGCGGCCGAGGAGGGGGAGTTGCAGCCATTTTTAACTCTAGTCCACCCTGGATCCAGAGGTGTTAGCCAACTATAGACCAATACCTAATCTCCCCTTTCTTTCAAAGATCCTTGAGAAAGTAGTCGCAGACCAGCTGTGTGATTTTCTCCATGATAATAATTTATTTGAGGAATTTCAGTCAGGATTTAGAGTGCATCATAGCACTGAGACAGCACTAGTTAAAATTACAAATGACCTTCTGATTGCTTCAGACAAAGGACTTGTCTCTGTATTTGTTTTATTAGATCTTAGTGCGGCGTTTGACACAAATGACCATCAAATTCTGCTACAGAGACTGGAACACTTAATTGGCCTAAAAGGTTCTGTACTAAGCTGGTTTAAATCTTACTTATCTGATCGTTTTCAGTTTGTTCACGTTCATAATGAATCATCCTTACGTACTAAAGTTTGTTTTGGAGTTCCGCAAGGTTCTGTGCTCGGACCAATCCTATTTACTCTATATATGCTTCCTTTAGGCAACATCATTAGAAATCACTCTATAAATTTCCATTGTTATGCGGATGATACACAGTTGTATTTATCTATGAAGCCAGAAGAAAGTAATCAATTAACTAAACTCCATAACTGCCTTAAAGACATAAAAAATTGGATGAGCACCAATTTCCTGATGTTAAATTCAGACAAAACTGAAGTTATTGTTCTTGGCCCCAAACAACTCAGAGACTCTTTATCTGATGACATAGTTTCTCTAGATGGCATTGCTCTGGCCTCTAGCACTACCGTAAGAAACCTCGGAGTAATATTTGATCAAGATTTGTCTTTTAATTCTCATTTAAAACAAACCTCACGGACTGCATTTTTTCATCTGCGTAATATTGCGAAAATTAGGCCTATCCTGACCCGAAAAGATGCAGAAAAATTGGTCCACGCTTTTGTTACCTCAAGGCTGGATTACTGTAACTCTCTATTATCAGGTAGCTCTAGTAAGTCCTTAAAAACTCTCCAGCTAATTCAGAATGCAGCAGCACGTGTACTAACAGGAACTAAGAAACGAGATCATATTTCTCCTGTTTTAGCTTCTCTGCACTGGCTCCCTGTAAAATCCAGAATTGAATTTAAAATCCTACTGTTAACTTATAAAGCTCTAAATGGTCAAGCTCCGTCATATCTTAGAGAGCTCATAGTGCCATATTATCCCACCAGAACACTGCGCTCTGAGAACGCAGGGTTACTCGTGGTCCCTAAAGTCTCCAAAAGTAGATCAGGAGCCAGAGCCTTCAGCTATCAGGCTCCTCTCCTGTGGAATCATCTTCCTGTTACGGTCCGGGAGGCAGACACCGTCTCCACATTTAAGACTAGACTTAAGACTTTCCTCTTTGATAAAGCTTATAGTTAGGGCTGGCTCAGGCTTGCCCTGTACCAGCCCCTAGTTAGGCTGACTTAGGCCTAGTCTGCCGGAGGACCCCCCTATAATACCCCGGGCACCTTCTCTCCTTCTCTCATCCCTCTCATCCACCCCTGACTCACAGCTATGTGGACTCAAACATTTTTTTTAGAAAATCTATAGAAGAAAATCTGCTTCAGGTTTGCTTTAGTGGCTGACAAAAGATAAGAGGGCCTTGGTATGGATGTAATCAGTGGGAGGGCCGTGTGACAGAAGGTCACCTCAGTGAAATTAAGGTACCTGGCTTGTGACAGCTGTTAGGCTGTCTATGAGCATATTATGAGTACAGGCTACAAATCCTTCCAGTTAGGGCTGTATTAAGTGAGAACACAAGCAA